CCTGGTTGGAGGCGTAGTTGGTGCGGTTGTCGCGGTCGGAATCGACGCGGGGGTCGAGCTTGTTGGCGACGTTGCTCTTGTGGGGACCGGCGGTGGTGGCTGTGTTGCCGTAGCCTCTGTTGGTGGTGTCGCCGTAGCCGGTGCCGGATGTGCCACCATAGCCGGTGTTGGTGTGGGCGGTGGTGCCGTGAGCGGTGCCGCTGGTACCGTAGGCGCCACGATTGTCGCGGTCCGAGTCGACGCGAGGGTCGACCTTGTTAGCGACGTTGCTGTCGTGAGGACCGGCATTGGTGGAGGTGTTGCCGTAGCCAGTGCTGCCGTAGGCACCCGAGGTCTGCTCGCCAGGGCGCAGAGGAAGGTCCTTGCGGTTCAGGCTGCTGCTGTCGTTGTGGCCGACACGGCTGGGGTCGTCGCGGCCGACAGCGCCCCAGTAGGGGTCGTTCTGGCCGGCGGCGGTGGCGGTCGTGGTCGTGGTGCTGGTGTTGGTGTTGATGTTGTCCCTGTGGCTGCGGTCATGCAAGCCGACGCCCGAGTCGGTTGGCTGGTGTCTATAGTTCGGGTCGTGCGACGAGAGACCGTGGTTGTGTGTCCTGGGGTCGGTCTTGTGAAGCTTGGTGTCATCGTTGGGGTAGGCGCCGGTCGTGCTGGTGTGGCCGTGGGTTGTCGTATCGGCGTATTCGTCGCGGTCGTCGCCATGAAGGGCGTCCTTGATCTTGTCCTTGAGACCCATGATGCTTGTTGTGGTGGTGGTAGTGGTAGTGGTAGTGATAGTGATGATGTGAGAGTATTGAGAATTGATGCGATTGATTATTGATGAATCTTTCTGGGTATCTTATACACTGCTTGAGGCTGTCAAAGTGAGGAGAGAAAAATCCCACCCTTCACTGCAGGCGAGCTGCTGATATACACGGCGAGCCTGCGTCTGTGATCTTCGCAGAACCCGGACTTGGCCTAGGTCAGTCATCATGGCAGGGCCGTCTGACATCACGGCAGACGATGGATGTGCATGTCGAGACCTGCTTCTCGGGCTCGATGAGCTCATGTGGAGGGGACGAGGAGGCTCGTCGTTGGGTTGCGCGGCGGAAAGAGTTGGAGCTGCGTGCGTGGATGACGATGAAAATAAACATGCATGACGTTGCCTCAGATGCCGGC